AAAATAAGCTTTTAAGAACCGTAGTTAGTAACTCAAAAATGCAGCATATAACAGGGAGATCAAGAGGAAATATAGAGAAACCTATCACAGAATTGAATGATTTTCTTAAACATGGAACAAAAAGTAAGGGCAGACAAGGGGAACATTCAATTAAAGGGGGGGGGGGTAAAAAGTTTGATAAAGACCTACTTGAATCATCGAGACATCGTTAGCGCCATCTCCAATAGCTAGAACTTTTCCACCAAGACGGGTTTTTGCCATTTTCACCAGTGAAGCCTTTTGAAGTGGAGTCGCTCGACAGCACAGTACACTACGACAGCTGAAACGTGGACATGAACGAAAAAGGTTGAGGAATGAGAAAGAGTTGCTGGTAGCTTGAAATCGACGACAGTGTTGTCGAAGCTCCTAATTGTGCTTCTAAGAGTAAGAAGATTATAGGAAAGAGCGGAAGTGGGGATAACGCGACCAGTGCAGCTAGTGCGTGAAGCTCTAACCCCTCAATCACTGCCAACTATAATTGTCCGAAACAATTCACAAAAAAAGCAAACCTCTTGAGTAGTTGCACAAAACGCTCCTCGTTATGGGGATCAACACAGTAATCCAAGCATGAAGCGTTCAAGACCAGTCCAAATGCCGCCTCTTCAGTGATCTCGCCTGCTCGACTAACACTGTAAAACCCAAACTAATTTATTTATTAATCATGAGAACTTGCTGCTTTTGATTACAGATTACTCTTAATTAGGAACAACCGGTTGAGCGAAAAGCGGGTGGGTTCTTTGATTACCAGTGGGGAGTAGAAGGGAGGTCCTGTGGGAGGACTGCGGCAAGGCCCCTTAAAGCACGTCCTAGGACCAGGTAAGCTGAACAGATTGGGTGATATCGGTAGTTTCGCGCGAAATCCAAAATAGGGTGGAGATAAACCGATAGTGAAGAAGAAAAAGGAAAAGAAACATTCGAAAATGGAGTAATTATTCTGTCGAAGGCCTAAGTAACAGACAGTGGGATAAGAGATAGCGAGCGCCGCGGAGAGGGAACGGAAACGGTGGCGAGGGCGCTGATTTGAGCATTTGGTCTATGATATGATTAGCGGACTTCTAGATGTTAGGTAGAGTCCCTTGTACAACCTAACGTCATTACGCATTTGCCTGAATACTTCGTGCAGCGAGGTCGGTAGAGCATCCCTTGGCGCGTCCCCTATTTTCTCTCGCAAGAGCTCCATCGGCCTCATCCTGGGACATGCTTCCAGGAGGTGAAAGGGGCCATGAAAATTTCATAAGCCGACACAACGGGATGATCCTGCTCTTAACTGCGCTGGCCGGCTTGAGTACGTCTCAGTGGCAATTGGAGTCTTGATAATCACATGGCCTGTACGCGAATTGTAGGCATAAGGTACACCAGGTACGAGCAAAGGGTACGCCCAACAAGTTAAAGACTTTTCACACAAATGAACTAATCAAAGTTTCGGAATATGCATAGATAGGATGGATTGGTGGATATCTGATCCCTGCGTATTATGGGAATCGGGCGGGTGGCCGGAAAAATTAACTGTCATAATTTCTCCCAATCTTCGGAGAATCTTCAGATTATTGAATGATGGAAGTAGTGAAATAGACAGTCCTTACCGTGCAAGGTGCTCATCCAGTAAATCAGAAACTGATCGAACTCCATTGGCACCAACATTCAGAATGTCCATTGAGCTCGAGACAGTCTGGAAACGGAGTGGATATGTGTGTCCGTTTTCGAATTTATTGAGATTCGATTAACTACGGTATGGAAAAGTCTCGCAAACATACGCGGGGAGCGAAATCGATGTTGAAGCCGTCTCGACTTTGTGCCATCAATAAAGCCACACAAATACCAGCCCTCACGTAGCAGATGGATGCATTCAGGTACTCCCTCTTGAAGACGATCTTCTATCGCAGTTACGCCTTAAAATCGAATTTTCCAGAGTGATTTCACCGAAAAGCTCCCAACGATAGAGACGCTGCTCAACGGAGACTTACCTAGTAGTTCCACATCCTTCTCCGCCTTCAGTATGCTGTCTCGGATCAGATTCTCGCGATGATGAGGATCGAGTTCGGCTTCTTCATGTAGCGCACGCCAAGTCTGCAGAAACCGAGTTTTCACAGACGGACCCTACAGATGGGCCAAAAAGTGCAGTACCTGGTAGTCTTCTTCGCTCCAGTACTTCTTAGCTAAGCAAAGCGTTCGTAGACCTTCTTTTGCGTAGTCAGATAGATGTTCTTGTGCCTAATAAGCACTTGACCAGCCTGCAGTAACAAAAAGCATTGAAAGGTAAGATTACCTTGTACACTTCCTCCTCTCCTATCTCAGATGTAATGTATTCATTAGCCAAAATCGGGAAGAACAGTGGCGTCGGCGCCTTTCGTCAACAGTAGAACCCTCTTTTTTCCAGTGCACTCCTGTACAATCACGGACATCCGCTTGCGATCCGAGTCGAATGGCAGGGTATGAAGCAGCTGAAAACGTGGCCTTCTGGGAATGTGGTGAGAGATGAGTAACAACTTTTCTTACCTTATATTTGAGTATTGCCCGCGTCGCCTAAGATGAACGTTCTTCATCGAATCTAACGTTCCGGCAGTCGAACACGTATTCTCTAGGGGCAGCTTCAACGGGCGAGCTCGTCTGGAGACTCGGAGTCGTAGTAAGAATGCAGTGGAGCCGCGGTCTCGGAGGAGAGGACTGCGATTGACGTTTGTCCACCGATCTGAATGGTTCACATCAAAACAACGCCAGAGATTGATTAAGACGTCGAACGGAAACAACCTTGAGGACCAAAATCCTCGAATAAGAGTATCAGAAAATTCGGAGCAACTCAGGCTTATGGCCTGTCACCACATGCAACCCGAAACTGGCACTATTTACCCTTTACTGCCCCACTCCTCGAGAACTGAGCCGGATTTTTATCGAAATTGGTCATTGACTGTGAATTTGGCCAGAAACTTGTCTTCGGGGGTAATTCGACCCGTAGAACACGAATATCACATTTGTTTACGCTAGAACGCCTGGCGCTCGCGTCAGAAGCGCCGGCGCCAAAAGGCGCCAGAACATCTCGGATCCCCAAATTCGCTGGAAAGTTGTCCTCAGAGGTATTTTGACCCGTAGAATATGATTATCACATCAGTTTGTTACGAGTGAACCTGTAGCCTGCGCTACGAGCGCCCGCGCAAAACTGTTGTGATAGCGCCGGCGCCTGTGGCGCGGGCGCCAAGCGTTTTCGCTCTAAACCGGTATTATATTCGTGATCTACGGGTCAAATTACCCCTGAAGGCAAGTTTCTAGCAAAATCCACAGTCATGGACGAATTTCGATCAAAATCCGGCTCAGTTCTTGAGGAGTGGGGCAGGGAACATTAAATTCTGCTCTGTGGGTCTCACGACAAGGATCAAGATAAGGCTAAGGATATCTCTAGCGGTTAACATAAGAACTTTGATAAAATGCTCATTTTAAGCAAGTTATTGATAGGACCTGGTGAAATGGTTCACATCATCGACATCCAATCCATTTTCTGCACATCTTCAGTGGTCCACCCACTGTGGATCCCCACCCTCCACGCCTCCTCCACCCCAACTTGCTCTCTCCTCACTGGCCCTGGGTAAACGTATGCGGCTTCTGGCGGAGGATCGTTATTCCGCGTCATTTCAGGCTGACTCATTGCCAAACGTCCAAAAGCTCCTTTCAGTGGGAGTGTTATCAATGCTCCTTCCCTTATGGTTAAGCGAGGTCAACGCTCTCATCATGATCCTTACCATTAAATCCGTAAAACAAGTCGAGCGACCCCCGTCCAACTCCTTTTTCGCCCACCCAGTTTCCCGGCTCTATACATATAGTTACTTAGCAACGCGTGACATCAGTAATTATGCAAAATAAAACATGTGCAATATCAAATTTGGATGGTCGCAGCGTGCACTATTTAGCCCACAACTATATACCTGATGCGACATGCCTGATCGAGAAAAACAAAAAGGAAATATACCATAAATAATGAATGTTAACTGTCTTTCCGTACCAAACATGGTCGCTTACTCACCTTCGGAACGGACTAAGCTCCTTTATCCCTTTGAGGCGAGCAAGGCTGAGCAAGGATGGCCGATGCAGAATACCAGGAATGGCAGCCATGCTTTTCAATGAAGTCTGTGAGCTTTTCTCTTTCACGTCACTAGAGATCATTTCCGTAACAGGAGGTACCTGGTGGAGAGTCATCCTTAAAACCATATTTAGAGAGGCCATGATTTTGAGTGAAGGGAAGGTACCTTGTCTTCATGAAGATCTATAAGTTCAATGCTTCTCTCGAGGACTCTTCAAGTCCTGGCCTTGTGGTACTTCCTCCTCCACTTCCTCAAGGAACTTGACACTCAACGGTGAAATCGTTAGCCTCTCAGTAGTTTCCGATTCCTCGACGCTGTTGTCGATCATGTCACCATCGGGATCCATAAGATCCTATAAAGGCAATGTCTTTACAGTTACATGGGTTAGCTACAGAATGGGAAAGGGATGAGTGAGAAAAAAATTCAATACTCCTGGGCTACCGTCTGGGGAGTTTCACTTTTCTTTAGAAATGTTACCGTTCTACGGTGCTCATTGGAGAACAGAGAGAGAAAAAATAGTATGAAAAAAGATACTTTTTCCTCCCTGAATGTTATGCAGGGTACCTCATGAGGTTTCGCGTTCACGACAACAGTGTTGCAAATGGCCATCGTGAGAAAGAACAGATATATTGGGCTGTCAATGTCAGCTTCCCGAACGGCACGACTGAGGAGAGCTTCCAGGCCTCGGTCCTTGGAAGGCCGTGGTCTGCCAAGCCGATCGTCCGGCTGGTCAATAGCTGCTGCTACTGAGTGGCCACCAAAATCACGTCCTCTCAAGGAACAGCGACGAAAGACCATCTGAAATAAATTGGTTCGTTGTCGAAAAATAGGCCTCAGAAATATGAAGAGAACTGTTCAAGGACCGTCACATTAAACAGCTCGTCCGTGGAAAAATCTTTTTTTGTTATCTCACCCACAAATCACTGGCTTGAAACCCATAATTCACGATAAGAGCAGAAAGAAGAAAAATGCGTTCTTTTGGTTAGCAATTCGAGGACAGGAAGGGCTGTTACGCGTCCAAATTCCTCCACATCTCTCACAAATGTTGGTGACGAGAACGATCCCACTTGGTTTTCGGAGTGCCTCCATTAGGAACTCTTTTTTTCGGCCTTTTCCACCTATGGCAATAACGTTTCTCTTTTCTGTTACATCCTAAATCTATCGGTTGTTTTGTCTTATATATTCCAATTCGAACGCTTTAACCCGATTCATTCAATGCGTCGCCTGATACGTGAACGCCCTGCGGTGCTCTTTTTCCTTGCGTACCCTTATCTCCTCCCCACCTACCCGCGACCGTCCTCAGAGTGTGCCTTTCGTAGATTTGT